GGTTCTCAGCCTCAACCTCTCCAGACCTTTGGAGGCGACACTCGTCCAGACTCTGTTGCCATAGTCTCTGGAAAGGCAGACCATTCTTTTCACCACTATCCTCCGCGTGCTTCTATTGATCCTGCACGCCCATCTATGTCGTCTATTGCGAGGCCTCCCGTTCCACCAGTCCCCAACGGGGGTTGGGTCGACCCCTACGCTCGTACAGAAAGCATGACAAACCGTGGCCGGTACAGTTACGCAAGCAGCGCCATCAGCACTGTTAACAGCCCTAGAAGGGTTCGTAGGAGGAAAGATCCCACTCCTTTTAAGTACGTCACCGCACTCTAGTTCTATCACAAGGTCTTATTAACCCACTCCCTACAGCATTCTGGTTATTGGCACTCGTGGCTCGGGTAAGACTTCATTTCTTGAGTTTCTTAAGACATCCCTTGCCCTACCTGCCAAGAAGAGATCCCAGCGATCAACCGAAATTGAACAAGAGGTTACTTCTCGAGCAATGCCATCGGGGAACTTTATCCCTCACTACCTTGAGAGTGAGATCGATGGAGAACGTGTGGGATTGACTCTATGGGACTCGGAGGGCCTGGAGAAGAATGTTGTAGATCTCCAACTGCGAGAGATGTCCACGTTTTTGGAAGGGAAATTTGAGGAGACTTTTGCCGAAGAGATGAAGGTGATTCGATCACCGGGCGTACAGGATACGCACATCCATGCAGTTTTCCTCATTCTCGATCCGGCTCGCCTCGACCGTAATATTGCCGCTGCTAGAGCAGTTCCTGGAGCTCCTCAGAGTGGAAAACATAGTTTCGATGTTGGACGTGTCGTAGGCGGCCTTGACGACGATCTCGACTTGCAAGTTATGCGCACGTTGCAAGGCAAGACGACGGTGATTCCCGTCATATCGAAGGCCGATACCGTGACGACGGCACATATGGCTTTCCTCAAGAAAACGGTCTGGGCTAGCCTCAAGAAGGCCAGTTTCGACCCCTTGGAGGCATTGGGATTAGACGAAGAAGATGAGTCCACACCAAATTCTAGCAGGATTGATGAGGACGAGGAGTTGGAAGAAGAGGTGGATGAAGCAGCAGTCGAGTCTGATGAGGGCGAGGGAAAGGAAAATGATGCAACTTCCGGTAGCCCTGGTGATGATAATAACGTACTTGAAGGTGAAGATCGATCCTCTGCCGCTTCGAAACGAAGATCCAACACTTCGCTCCAGCGCGAAGAGAATGCTGATGAGCTACCGCTTCTTCCTATGTCAATCATCAGCCCTGATCTCTACGAACCCGGCGCCATTGATCGGAAATTCCCTTGGGGTACAGCAAATCCCTACGACCCAGACCATTGCGACTTTACTCGTTTGCGAGACGCCGTTTTTACCGAGTGGCGTAGTGAACTACGAGAAGCCAGCCGTGAGCAGTGGTACGAAGGTTGGCGAACTAGCCGACTCAAGCACCGCAGCCCTGCGAATCGACGCCGTTAGGCATTGCGACAGGATTCGCAAGGTCGCCCCTTGTTCCATAAATAAAACATTAGATCACGTGTGCAGCGACTTCTGCATTTTCTCACATTTTGCGGACTACTCTCAATTTGCAACACCTGCAGCAATACCCATTGATTGTTTTCTCTCTTCTATTCCCCATGTATTTCCTGAAACGAACCATGTACTACGTACGAACCAAAAATTTACTTTTCTGATGGCATCTGAGTAAGAAAAAAACGCTCCGCAGGCGACGGATCTTCTTCGGAGCCGGGTTGCTAGGGAACAGGAGCAGAAAGACACAAATCAACGACTTTTTGGAGGCTGGTGCTATGGATCCTATCTACCCAATACAAATAATCTTGATTTGTAGCCGGGTGAGGGTAGAGAGAAACAGTCTTCAGGATGCGGCACTGTTGTGTATTTATCTTACTCCCTCAAGACTCCTCCGAGGAAGGTTAAGTAATGATCGAGCTTAGGCTTATTATTGTTGTTGCTCAAGGAGATCATTTGCTCTCCGCTCCTGTAACGTACGTGGGTCGTCTGCGGTCCTACGTATGCTTCGTCGCATATATTCTTGTGTCGGTCTAGGTACTGCACCGTCGTAAAATGTTAGGATTCTTTTCACTTTGTGTTCAATGTCTGTATGCCCAGTTTTTCACTTCCCAGCATAGGTCAGCCAACCCAACTTCAGTAATTGCGTTTGAGAGTAGGTCTTCGTTCTTTGCACAAGCCAAATCTGTTTCGTGTAGATCTTTCACTTAAGATATGATCGCTAAGCAATTTCCTCTTGCCAGCCTCGGGACTCCGTATCCCACTAACTTCTTTATGCCACCAGAGCTTACGAGGGTACCCTATCGTGGCCACAAAATAGCTAACGCCTTTCACGCAAGCGTTCCGTTGCAAGATCATTCCAGGCTTGCCACTATTGAAATATCTAACTAGTCCGTCCCACGCGGTACGTCTATTAGTAGACCGTATCTTTTCTGCGATAAGGTAGCAACAATTACCTTAATTCTAGCGTCTATTTCGTAATAGCAGACAGAGGATAAATTTGACCGGCTCTAATTACAACATAAATCGTACGCTGTCGCTTCAGGGAGATAAAAAGAAAACCGAGGCAACCTATCCCGTCATAGATACACCTCCCGAGATCGCTCGACGTCCACAAATATTCAACGATTCTATCACAATTTACTCCTTACATGGGCATTGCGGCCTGCCCAGGAAGCTCCGAGAGCCAACCATCCGTATCCTCTACGACAGTGTTCTGGACCGCGCACTTGTTCATGTCCGCCACGCTCTGCGTCTTCAGGATCCCCGGGCTCCCGGGGCTTCCGCACATGTGGAACATGCACGCGTCGTCCATCGCCCGTTGCAGCGAGTCGCCTTGCCAGCCGAACACTAGAAACAGTCAGAGGTTAATTATCGTCCGTCGTCTTCAGTACTTGAATCAATTGCGAGAATCCGAGCAGTTCCTAGGCGTAGCCTTTCATCAAGAAGGGAAAGTATAGACTATGTGTGCCCTAGAAATCTCTTAAAGAAAAAAAAGAAAAAGAAAAAAAAAGGAGCAAGAAAGAAATAGCCCTGAAAAGTAGGCACTGAATAGGTACTTACTGTAATCCGCGTGCGTTCCATAGCCCTTGGTATCGCCGAAGCTCCAGACGAAGGGCTGCGAGCCGTCCTTCGGCCACATGTCCTTGAACACTGACGTATCCCACATGGTCTCGTACGCGAGCTGCGGCACGCGGACGGGGTGCGATGCCGGGCAGGGACCTGCTTCCTGGAATGCCCCTCTGGTCGTGCTGTACATGTGCGATTGGTGGTCTGGGCTGTCGAGGTTCACGCCGTCCCAGCACGCGGGGAAGTGGTGAATAGCCATAATTCCAGCCGGACATGGCTCCGTGGGAAAGTCGGTGGTTTCGTAACCTCTAGTCAGGATGGTTTGCAGGCAGGTGTATCGGAGTCCTGCGTGGGTGCTTGGGTTGGTGAGTTCGGTGGTCGTGGGAGAACCGACTGTCATCCGGAAGCCCTAAAAGCCATATTATGAGTCGGTTTACCCCTTATCACCACTATAGCACCATAGCCAGATGAAGGATGGATGCTACATACGGGCTTGAAAGCAGTGATGGGCGCGTTCCCGTTTCCAGTGAAATCCTTCTGCGTGTAGTAAATCGTCATCCCGCCCTTGATTTCCGGCGCATCCTGCCCCTCGGTACCCAGCTGCGCATTCGGGTACTGGGGAACCCGCTTGTAGGAGCCGTTCTCGTGCCGGAAGTACATCACCGCGGTCCAGTAATTCGAGAAATCCTCGGTGTAGGCGCACGTCGTGCAGCTGCCCTTCTCACCAATGTCTCCCTGCATAGTCGCGTTGAAGGCATTTCCACCGACGATCTGGTGCACGTGGGCTGAGGGGATCTGGCCCGGCTCGACGACGGGGTCTAAGCGCTGGACAGATACGGACGAGCAGCCGAACCGAAGGCCGGCCTGGGAGAGCCCAGCTTGCAATATTAGGGAGTAGACGGCCTTCATTCTCGCTGAGACACAGCAGCCCTTCCTTGTTGTCTACTGAGTTTCGTAGGTGAGTTTCGTGAACCCTGGGTGATAGATGTCATGAAGTCAACAGGGAGACGTGGTGCCGTACTCCCTGAGGATTTATAAAAGTCCGGGTACGTAGGAAAACATGTGCCGCCTTTCATTGCTAATAATATCGCCAAGGCAATATACCATGTTATCTCTTTTCACTACTGGCGCTGAGGGCTGGCCAGTGAGGAGCGATTGCCTTGGTATATTGAGGCAATATGAAGCAGCCTATCCGAATGCAGAGATGGCAGAGGCCGCAGCCGGGTAATTCACACCGACGACATATCCAATTGCCGATTCGTTAATATTCCGCCTCGTGCATATTTAGAGACACATCTCGATCGAATATGGAAGTCGATCAATTGCTGTTTTTGAATCATATAGTAGAAGCATAGGATAGCACAGAGAAGGACTCATTTTTCATATGATAAGAGCCCCTTACTTACTTTATTATGCCAATCCTATAGCAACTTTAGCAACTTTCCATGAGTGAACCAGGTATATGTAAGGATTTGAGCGCTAATACGACGTATATTGATTAGTACACATAGGTAGCCAAGTTTCGTCATGAGGGCGAAGTATCAGCCATCATGATCAGATATTCGCCAGTCACGATGATCCTACATACGAATCCCGGTCATGTCAAGTATCTCCATGCCATCCCCAATCTCGAGTGGCATAGGCCAGAGCCTTCAAAATGATTTCGACTCAACTCATTTACAGTCTAGTTGTTAGAAATTAGGGAGGCTTGCAATAAGTAAGTAGTCTGGCTCCGCCGTTTAGTTTCGTCGGACGCTAGCTAGCATGTAGTCGCCCCATGCCTTCAGAAAGCACACTCAATAACAAACGGTACCATCCCATTTCCTGGTGGCATAGTTGTCGGCTTTCGCCATAAGCTGTTGTGTAAAGCGTTGCCTTCACCAGCCAATAGCATCTCCCGATAGCTCAGTTTGGCAGAGCGATGGACTGTAATTGTAAATCATCTATGAGATCCACAGGTCGTGTGTTCGATTCACACTCGGGAGAGAGACCGTTCGGTTTTTTGCCCTTGTTGCCAAATTTCGAGGATATAAATGAGAGAAAAATACAGCGTCATTTCTTAGTAAGGTATTGAAAATGTACCCCAGCTTCTTTTCATGCTCGCTCTTTCCCCTTCTTGATGCGTTACAGGGGTAGCTTGCCCCAATTAGAGCTCCACTTTGGTTGATGTTGGCCCCTAAAAAAAAGCATCGAGGTCATGTTGACGACTTTCGAGACAAATTTATTTTTTTGTTTCTTTGCCAGTGTTGGTTAAAGTCCGTTAATGCAATGAACACAAGGATCAATCAACAACTTGTTAAGCCAACTAATATTCAGTTGTCCACAATCCAGATACCTGTATATGACAATCGCTACCAGCACAATCAAAAACTGATCGACTAGGGCTACAACTCTTTTCTACCAGAATATCACTATCTCGTAACCAGCCAATTATCACTCATGTATACAGTCTATCTTTATTTCTATTCAAGTCTAGAGGATATAAATATCTGGTAACTGCACAAGTCCACTATAGCCCTCATAATGCTTGCCCTACCGATGACGATGATGTTGTAGGCGTAGCCCGAATCAACTTGTCATCCGTTGGCTGCGGTATCAAGCGTTCCACCTCGCGCGTCGACTCCCAGTGTACAGTTCCGTACCTATACAGCTCACCAAACGTCCCCGGCCTATGATCCGCATCTTTGAAGCCATCCTTCTTAACCAGATCTCCAAGTGCCGGCAGCCCGCCTGCCGAGTTGTGGTAGACCTTGTACATGTGGCTCTTCTCCAGCACCTCCACAACGAACTCTTCCGCAGCCTTCTTCCTACTCTCTTCGGGCTCGTCAAGTGGCGTAGTGAAGAGCTCAACTTGCCTGTGCCCGTCGTACTCCGTTCGGATGGCGCCAAGAATGCCGTTGAAGATGCCTTCCACCATGAACACCTTGTTTTCCCAGAACTCGCGCCCGTTCCACCCCGTGCTGACGTCGAGCAGGTTCTTGGTGCGGTCGCCGAGGAGCATCTGGGCCACGTAGTCGCTCATCTGGAGGACCTTGTCCTCGAAATGCCAGTCGGCCATGCCGTCAGCGATGCCGATGTCCTGGACCAGGGGCAGTTTGTGGAAACCGGTGCAGTTGGTGTGGTCCCTCCACAGCTCTTTGTAAGAGCTATGCCAGTTCTTGATGAAGACGCAGCCCTTCCGTGCAGCCAGCATGTAGTTGCCGAAACTGCCCCATTGCTTCCTGATCTGCCCTGTGATGATCCATACAGCCATCTCGTAAGGCGAATCCGGCGCCGTGAGCGCATCCCAGAAGAGCTTGTCGAGGTGGGTATGCAGCATGTTCCCGACATCCATCCACACCCCTCCGTGCTCATACAGGAGCGGTAGCCGCACAAGATCCGCAGCATGCTGCGCCGCATGGCGGCCATCCATCGTCCGATTGACGAAGCAATCGGGGAACCAGTCCTTGCCCACGTAATTGTAGACATTGTTAGGCGAGTCCTCGACGAGATCGACGATGCGAACCGTCCAAGACCTGCCGAGTTTCCTCACCCAATTGAGAACAGTGCATCGGTAGCTCGGGTACATGCGATCCAAGCCTTTGTCCCAGAAACACCACACGTTCTTCTCCGAGGTGACGGGTCGGAAGGCGTGCAGCTCTTCGGTAATTTCCACTTCAGGCCGTAGGTCTAACTGAAACTCAGGCACTACGCGGAGGCCCGTGGCTGATTGGGGTAACGTAAACTTGGCCATCTGGGACGAGCAATCGGCACTAGGTCTGTTGAAGAGTATTGAGAGTATCGTGAAGGTCGTGAGGGGCGCGTTATTGCTTGATTGCTGTAAGATGAGATCGGAACGCCCAAAGTGATGCTATCTATACACTTTATATATATATGCTTCGTACATAGGATAGATACCCAACCCCTTTCTAGATTTCTGTGCTAGTTATGATTCATACAGACTACCCCATAATGCTTCTGTCTAAGCCCCTTACTTGCCTAAGCGAGCCCTCTTGGGAACAGGGACCTAAAGGCCTCAATTAATTATCAGGTAGATAGTTCGTTCTATAGGGATATAATTAGGAGTAATGTACTGAACAAGTATCCATGTGCTCAACGCAAGCGAGTCGTGCAACTGAGGGCATTGCCATTTGTGGTAATACAGTACTGTCGAGCGACAGAAATGCTAGCCGAATGCGGTTAGGCTAATTATGATTCATAGTGATGAAGCCGTCATCCTGGGTAGATTAAGGTAGTATTCGAAGGCTGAGCTGAGCCACCGGGTCAGCCACTGCTCACGACCTCTTCACTCATAGGTTATCTATCACTCATATGCATGTTAGTGCATTGCATTCAGAAAGGCATCATCATACATCAATATATGCTGTACTACACCTCATGTCTCTGACGCGCGTGTACGGACGAAATGGGGATAAGAGCCCCGGGCCTCATCTTATCTCCAGAATATGAACATTATAAGAACCCAACGACGCGCTGGCTTTAAGTCTTAGACATTCTCGTTCATCACCATTGCTATCAAAGCCAAGATACCACATAGAATAGGCAGATAGATAGATACCTTATCTCCCGTCAAGCACCCAGCAACTCATCACACGATGATCGGCCTCAAAGACAAGCCGCAGTACGTCGACCTCGACCCGGAGTTCAAGCCGCTGCCCAAGTACGGCCACCTCTCCGAGAAGACGCCCGAGTACCTGGCCGTCGAGGACGCCATCCGCGCCGCTTACGACAAGCTCTGGGAATTACCCGACATCCCGGCCTTCCGCCGAGGGGCCGGCGACCCGGATGCGGTGATGCCGCCCGGGGGCCCGGACCGGTACCGCGATGTCGTGACTGAGCTCTTGCATTTCCCCGCGCGGGACGGCCAGGTGATCGAGCTGAAGGTGTACAAGTCGCCGCGCGTGGCACCGGAGGCGACTCTTGTGTATCGCATGCACGGCGGTGGTATGGCCACTCACTATTCATTATTCTCACTAGCTCTTTTTTACTGCGAGATCAAACGTGCTAACTATATCACTTTATCAATGTAGGCTTCTGTGTGGGATCGCACGAGGTGGATGGTGCCGAGAACGTGTATGCTGCGACGAACCCCAACATTGTCGTTGTCAGTGTGGATTACCGGTCGTATGTGTCCCAAGTTAGAGATGTGAGGAGTGAGTGCCACCCGCCAATTTGCTAACTTTTCGAAAGGGCACCTGAGAACCCTTTCCCGACTGGCGTCGAAGATAGCTACGATGGCCTACTATGGGTACGTGAATTTCTCTCTAAGCCTCACTTATTACTTTATATCCACTAACACATAGCTTTTAGTGTAAGAAAAATGCCAAAGCTCTCGGGATCAATCCCGAGAAGATCATTGTTGCGGGAAGCAGTGCTGGTTCCAATTTCGTAAGTCCTACCACTCCACCTTACAAATCTCCCTTTCATGCTTTCATCTAGTATTCTCTCCCGCTAACACATCCACCAGGCCGCCGTCTTATCAATCATGGCCCGAGATGACGGCGTCTCCGGCATCATCGGCCAAGTGCTCCACTTCCCAGCCCTCTGCCATCCCAAATTCCTGCCGCGCGACAAGTACGAGATGGGCAGCGACATCCAGAACGCCGACAACGCCGTCCTCAGCACCGTAAAGTGGGAGGTTTTCATCGACGCCTACGTGCCCGACCCCGAGCCCGACTACCGGCACTCGCCACTACTCGCGCCCTCTTTAGCACGCCTCCCACCCGCACGTAAGTTGTGTAATTATCCTCGTCTTTTCACGTCACGCTCCCTCCCTCCCCTACCTACATCTTAGCATTATACCTACGCTCTTGTCTTCGGACCATAGCGGCGGCTCGCGGGTGGCTAATGCGTTTCTAGTGATACAATCCGCCGGCGTGGATATCTTCCGGGACGATAGTTTCGCATACGCCGATGCCCTCAGAGCCGCGGGCGTAGACGTTGAGATGTATTGTTACGGCGGTGTACCGCATTGCTTTCCCGCCTCTATTAAGACTCATCCTCAGACATCCGTGTTCTACGACAGATACAACGCCTTCTTAGAAAAGCATGCGACTAGCGCTCATTGTAGCTCGTAAGACCAAACTAGAACACTACATTAATACGATGCTCTGAATTATGACGATCGGTCGCTTTAATTTATGTGGTTCTCACTCAACCTGATTACGGGCTCGAGATAGTTACAAACTTCAGCGTATCTATTCATGTATTGACGGGTTTACTTTCCTCTATAAATAAGTAAACAAGGGTTTTCGTAGCGAAGAGACTTGCGCCGCCAATTGACATGGCCATGGCAATCAATCTTCAAAGCCCTACGTGGCAAAATCTTGACCGACATGATTTACCTAACATTATTAAACCTTAATCAGAACCGCCTGTGTTTGGGACACGCTGATTAGGTAAGGGGGGGAGAACTGATACAGAGATATATAATAGATGCCACAATGTCTTATTATCAAAACATAGTAAAGTTGATATAACAACTTTAACAAAAGAATACGAGAGCCATGCGAGGATAGGCTGAGAGTTGTTCATTAATTAATACTTGGTACATAGATAATTACCAATATCATTAAGGGTTGCGACGCTCATCTACGAAGCGAAACAAAACCCAAGCGTGGTTGTGCAACTGGAATGTCGGCCAGATTACTCCATGGCTTTCCTCCACAATTCCCTAGTGAAACCTGAATCATATTATATTACACCCTAACCAAGAATAACTTTAATGCCTCTAATAGCGTATTTCGAGATCAATTCTGTAAGTAGAGAGGGTGGAGACTCTCGTCAAACTTGGGAAGCTTCGTATAATGTGAAATCTCGGGGCGGTTAGTGAGGGCCTGGAATGTCATAGATAGCAAAGGCGCAGCACTATTGAAATTCATAAGTCAGTAATTTCCGTAATAAACCGCAGATTAATAGCAGATTCTTGAGTAGAGGAAAGACAACAGAAGCCATTAGTGATTCAATCGTAACAACTGACCAGAACA